ATATATCAGACAGTGTTTCACGGCTATTCATAAGGTTTTCACTGGCCAATTCTTTGAGAAGTGGATGGCCTCTTCCTTCTTCTGAGTTTGTCTTAGTCTGGAAGCTCCACTGACACTGTCCACCATGGGTAACCCTGCTGGCATTTGAAACATCGGTGGCATAGCCTCCAGCCTCACGGCAACACTCAAACCACCACAGTATGACAAACTGACAGACAAGTGTGCCTCCCTTCCTATTCCAAACTGCTCTGCTCATTTCCTGGTCTCCCCCGCGACGCTCACTTACTCAGCCTTCCTCTGGGGTGCAAACACTGGCCTTCCACTGGTCCTATGCTGGCTTACCATGACTTGCCCCAGGGGCAGCTCCACGCATGCAAACACCCACCTTCCACTGGTCCCGGAGCTGATTCTCATTTGATTCTTATCCCTCCCTTGTGAAAGGTACAAAAACTTAAACTACAGAGAAGCAAACCTGAGCGAAAAAAAAACCTACGTAATCTGCCTGAGATCGTCCTACTGATCAAAAGAGTGATGATTTATGCTGCCTCCAGACAGGTTTTACCCACATAAAGGATGTGAAAAACCACCCCTTCAGGAAAAGGATTGGAATGGCAGCAGTACTGTGGCAAAATAGACAAGGCTAAACAAGGCAGACTTTAGCAAAGCCACAGTCACTTAAAGACTAAAAAGACAGCGGGGGAAGGGTTAGAAATCAGCATGAGGTCACCCAGAACATTTTACCTCCAAAGGATTAACAAACAAGGCAAGGGTAAGTCCAATACCCCACTCCCCCACTGCACTGAGGCCTGTGAACATCTTGAATGGCAAATATATACTTTTAACGTGCTACAGGTAAACTCTTCTTTTCTCTCCTGTTTGCCTTCGGCCTGTCAATGCTCACCTAAAGACCTGCGTCCTCAACACAACAGGTCCTCCTCAGTGTAGGATGCAGAACCTGCTTCCCTGACACTAGTGGCCTGTGCCTAGTCACACTGCCCAAAGCCACTGGCAGGCTCTCCTGTGCCAATGCCTGGATTCCCCAACTAGATTATCAGCTACCAAAGGGCAGTGACCTTGTTCTCCTATTCTTAGCACTTTTCCATAACTGTGCTTAACTTGCTAAATGAATACTTGTTAAATATACAAATCTAGGGAAGATTCATAGGTTTAATCTACCTCATTTTCTCCCCTTCCAGTCCATCTTCTGTGCACTTACTGGTGACAAGCACATGCTTGTTGTCTGCATTGTTTCTCAGTGATGTCGACTTCTCCACAGTCCACATTGTTGGCACAATGTGACTCCACTTAACCAATGATCCAGCATTTTTAACATGCGAACACGCAAATCCTCTTACTTGCTGCCTCAAATCCTCACTGGAATGAGGCAGGGTGAAATGTACAATTTAATTAAAAACCTGGATTCAGGCAAATATTTAGAGGACAATTCTAAAACTCACTCCCAACTCCCAAATTTCCCTCTTACCATTAGAAAGTTTTTAGAAAGTCCTGACATTCAATATGCTTTACCATAGTTTTCTTAATAACAAATGAGGTCATGTGACCCATCTAAGTTTCCAGCTCCTAGGGGAGGGTGGAGCTGTCCTTCTCCCCTGTTGTAGCACATCTCATTTCCCCCATTCATACATGTGCTAAATGATGTTTTTGTTCATCTCCGTCAAAGTCTCTGCCAGGACTCTTGGCTCCCAATTTCCAAAGAGAATGTTCTGTCTGGCATATAGTTTATTGTTTTCAAGTATGGACCCACAGAGGGACAGAGAGGAATACAGAACGAATGAATGTGAAGGTAATTCTGCAAACAGGGGGAAGTCCCACCACAACACCACAGAGGATAACCAGGTATATGAACTCTGCGGTGGCCTGTTCTTATTCTTCACAGTGGTAAGCAGAAAAAAATTCAGTAACAGCAAAAATGAAACTGGATGTTGACCCACTCTATTTAAGAAAAATCACAAGTCCAGACAAATAGTACTTGAGGCAAGGGCATTTAGAAACAATGATCTTTAAAACCCATTGGAGAGTGATTTCCAAATCCAAGTTTTAATAAATGTTGTATACAGATGACAAAAACAAATCCACACTGTCAGATTCTAGATGGGATTAATAAGAGTTTTGTTGAGCTAAAGGTTTGTATAATTATATGATTAGCTTCCAGTAAAGGCTGCTATGAAAATGCAATGAAATAACCTTGAAAACACCTGCAAACAATAGTGTTGTGTGAACATGTGTATTTTATATAACTAGAGATCTTTTTCATAAATGGAAGAACACTGTTTGCCATATGCCTATCAAATCCAACCACCATTCATCTGTCAGTTTCTCATACTGTGGTGGTCTGTGTGTTGCTGTGATGCTGGAAGGTGTAGCACCACTATTTCAAATAGCAGCAAGGCCATCCATGTTGGACAGGTTTCATTGAGGTTTACAGACTAAGACTAGGAATAAAGACCTGGCAATCTACTTCCAGAAACTAGCCCATGAAACGTTATGGATCAAAACAGAACACTGTCCAACTCACTTGCATTGGACACATCAAGAGGAGGAATCAGTCACTAGACATCATGTTTGGTGAAGTGAAGGGCCAACAAGGGTGAAGGAGATCCTCAGTAAGATGGATTGGCACAACAGCTGCAATGATGAACTTGAAAATGCCAATGACTGTGAAGATGACACATGACCTGGCAACATTTCATTGTTATATATGAATCAGAGTCAACAGCAGCTTTTTACCAAATCCATGCAGTTTAGAGACAGTGGAAATAATGGATGAACATCTTAGCTATCTCCTACATAAATGTGTACTAAGCATGATGTCTTTCTCCAGAGCCTGCTTCTTCCTGATAATATTTCCAAAGTACGTGAGATGAAGTCTCGCCATCCATGCTTGTAAGAAGCATCCTGGCTGTACTTCTTCCAAGAGAGATTATTCCGTTCTTCTGGCAGTCCATGGTATATTGAATATTCTTCACCAAAACTGTAATTCAAAAGCCCAGTTCTTCTGTGGTCTTTCTTACTTCATTGCCCAGCTTTCACATACATATGAAGTGATTTAAAATACCATGGCTTGGGTCAGGTGCACCTTAGTCCTCAAAGTGACATGTTTGCTTTTGAATAAAGTCTTTCACAGATTTGCCTAATGCAATCGTTTGATTTCTTGACTGCTGCTTCCTTGAGTATTGATTGTAGATCCAAGGAAAATGATATCCTTGACCACTTCGGTCTTTTCTCCACTTATCATGATGTTGCTTATTGGTCCAGTCATGAGAATTTTTGTTTTCTTCATGTTAAGGTATAATCCATATTGGAGATTGTAGTTTTTGATCTTCATCATTAAGTGCTTCAAGTCATCTTCACTTTCAGCAAACAAGATAGTGTTTTCTGCATATCACAGGTTGTTAATCCATCTTTTTCCTATCCTGATGCTGCATTCTTCTTCATATAATCCATTTTCTTGGATTATTTCCCAATTTTAAACTATGCAGTGTCCACTTATTCTGTTTGAACAGGTTCTGTATGAACACAATTAGGTGTTCTGATTATACAGACATGAAAAGTTACCCTTATTAAAATTCAGTAAGGTAGAAGGCTTTAGGAATTGTTGGAAAGAGAGCTAGAAGACAAAGCAACATGTACATGCAATAAAATAGGTCTTAATGGATAATCATTCGGAACTTCATTAAGTGGGAGAAGCAGTAAGGCTGAGTCTACACCTTTTGTTTTGGATGATGAAACACATCCACATCGTCTATAGTGTCACTTTAGACAGAAGTCCAAACTGAGCAAACTATTCAGCATATGGAATAAGACAACTTTTATTAAGTAAACTATTGGCAGGATGGGCAAAATAATCCATTAGTTTGTAACCTTCTGACAAAAAGTAACTAGCATTATTATTTAGGATGATAGATACTACATTAAAACCTTACCACAGGTGTTTAAAATCACTTTTAAAAAACAGGAGCAGTTTAGGGAAGGACTTAAGGATGCTGGAAGGCTCAACTAACTTTAAGAAAAGGAGACCTTAATGTTGCTCACCATAACATTTGGTGAAAATTCAAAGAAAAGACTATGATAGAACCATATTTTTACCAGGTATAGCCTGCTGTCTCTAGGAGGTAAACCCGGTAACCTAGTTGGTTTTGCATGTATAAAGTTCTGTCACTGCCCACCAGGCCTCTTCAACTGGTGACTCTGCAGTTGTAATGCCTGCTCTGGAAGGAAGAGCAAGTATGCCATTCAAGAAGCTGTACCCTCAGATCCTAGGTTCTCTGATGTGGCCGCCCCTTAGCACTCCAGACTGCCCATTACTCATTGCCCCAGTATTCTTTCCTAGCTACAGGGACCATACCTGTTACTCCTTTTTACCACCTCAATGCATAGAACCTTTCTGAACTCCTCTGCCTCCCGTGGGCTTTGCATTCTGCTTTCTCATCACTGATCAATGAGTAAACTTCAGGTTAGTTGCTAATTACCTGCAGATTTGCATTAGGGTTTCAGTGCTGCCAATTATTAATTGTGGGACCTTGGACAGTTCACAATCTGACTGAGACTCACTGATTTTGACTCATAGTGACCCTATAGGACACAGTAGAACTGTCCCATAGGATTTCCAAGGCTGTAAATCTTTATGGAAGCAGACTGCCTCATCTTTCTTCCACGGAGTGGCTGGTGGTTTTGAATCACCAATCTTTTTGGTTGTAGCCAAATGCTTTAACCACTGAGCCACCAGAGCTCTTTCTGTAACTCTGAACTCACTGCCATTAAGTTGTTTCTGACTCACAGCAACCCCGATAGTGTTGTAAATCTTTACGGAAGTAGATTGCCCCATCTTCCTTCTGTGAAGCAGCTGATAGGTTTGAATCGCTGACCTACTGGTTAGCAGTCAAATGCCTTAGGCATTATGCCACCGGAGCTCCTTATTAGCTCAAAAGTCAGCCTTAGATCTAAGACCAGTGTGGATATTCATTTAATACTGTGCCACGTCTATTTCCAGACACTGAAAATTAAAACAAAGGACCTAGACTCATTAACATAAATAAACTAATCCTTACATTTGTGAAATGCTTTTATATTTCACCGTGTAATTTTTATGTGCCTTATCATTTAACTCTTACAGCCAACCTATACTACTAGGCCCATTTTATAGATAAGAAAATTGAGGCTCAGAACATTTAAATGGCCTGTCAGAGCTTGGATTCAAGTCTAGTTGCTCAGATTCCAAATCAATTGTTCTTTCTACTACACAACAGCCTCTGATGTTGGGGAGCACCGATAACACAGGCTAACGGGTTTCTCTATTACTGTGCAACCTATGTCAGTTGGCTGTTTCCAATCATTTTATTTGAGAGTAAAATCTCTGAATTTGGAGATGTGAGTGCAACTTTCTTTGTAGGTAAAACACTACCTGGTGTGGTGAACAAGGACACAATATACACACTGTACTTACGTCATACACCTGGGGACTGGTCAGACATCCAGCCAGCAAGCCACACCAGGCTGGGAGAGTAGTGGTTAATGGAGGGCCACTGTGCGTGAGGATGGGCTTCAAGTAACTTTACAAAGGAATTAAGGAAAAAATATCTGGGAAGAAAACACACACCCAACAAAGAGGTGTTTTAAAAAAAAATGAGAGTCAGACTTACATGCAGAACACCCGACCCAGGGCCATGCACCCACCTGCTCTACAGAGATACATCCCTTGGAGCAATTGGCCCTGAGGCACCAGAGTAGCAGCATTCACATGGAGGGAAAGCTGGACAGACAGAAGCGCATAACTAAGGACACAGGGATGGGGGATCACAGAGAAGGGAGAGGAGGAGAGTGGGTTAGGGTTAGGGATGGTAATTGGGGAATGAAATAAAATGTATATGAACTGTTGAATGTAAAACAAATTCTGCCTGTAAATTTGCACCCAAAGCACAATTAAAAAAAAAATTTATGGATGCCCCTCCAAAAAAATCAGAGTAAATTATCCAACATTCTATACACACACACACACCCTCTTTCCCCTACTTTACCAGTACAATACAGAAAATACTTACAATGGCAATCTGAAAGTTTGAATAAAAGATTAAACTATACTTCATCAGTTTTAAATGTTAAATCTCAGGCTGGTGATTTCCATTTTTTTCAGTTAAAAGGAACACTTGATTAATTAAAACACACTTCCTTTCTTCTATAGTTATGTTGAATCAGAGTTTTGGTTTCTATCAATATTCCAGCTTTTGACATACAACCAGCTCACGTCTTGGACATCGAAGATAATGTGCTCAGAGGTAGGGATGTTCCAGCTTCTAGGTGCTCTCCGCCCCTTGTTCTACATAAGTATTCCTGTTAAACCATTCTACCCAGAATTCACACGGTGGAAATGTTAGGGTTAGGCAGGACCTGAGTAGTAACTGAAAACAAACAAAAAACCCAAACCTACTGCCAATGAGTAGATTCTGACTCATAGTAACCCTATAGGGTGGTGTAGAACTGCCCCATAGGGTTTCCAAGGCTATAAATCTTTATGGAAGCAGACTTCCTCATCTTATTCCACAGAGTGGCTGGGTGGGTTCAAACTGCTGACCTCTTGATTAGCAGCCCAATGCTTTAACCACAGTGCAAACTGAGGCTACTACAAGTGAGGAAACTGCAACTTGGTGAGGTGAAATGATTTAGCTAAGGTTACTCAGATCAGAAATTTCCCAATGTCCCATACAAGATTATTTTTCACTCTATTTTCTATCTCTCTCCCAGACTATAATACAGGGTTTTTGAACCCTGGCACTATTGACATAAGGAGCCCTGGTGGCCCAGTCGTTAAGCAGTTGGCTACTAACTGAAAGGTCTGTGGTTCGAACCTACCAGCTGCTCTGCAGAAAAAAGATGTGGCAGTCTGCTTCCGCAAAGATTACAGCACTAGAAACCCTACAGGGCATTTCTACTCTGTCCTATAGGGTCACTATCAGTCTGAATTGACTCAAGGCAATGGGCTGGATATTTTTATTTATTTATTTATTTTATTATTGTTATTTGGGCTGGACAATTCTTTGTTGTGGGGGCTGTCCTGTGGACTGCAGTAGGATATTTAGCAGCATACCTGGCCTCCTCCCAGTGGTGACAACCAGACTAGTCTCTGAGCATTGCTAAATGTCCCCTGGGGGCAAAATCAATGCCCTGAAATGAAGGCCAATGAGTGGAAAGCTCAGTGAGTGTCAGTTTATGACACTTGGTATCTGTGCTGCCAAATGCACAGCCCTATGTTGTAATCTTCATGAGGCACTTTTCATGTTATGATAGTACTGGGACCATTTCTGATTCCCACAGCCTAACCAGCATGGAAAATGTGGAGACACTTAACTACAAGAAAGGCCAAGCAACTTTAAAGGAAGGCGAGAAGGTGGTGTAGCCATTTGGGTACACAAGTTCCACTGTTTCTTATCGTCACTCTAAGAATTAGAGTAAAGAAGCTTTATCTATAGGGAGGTGGTGAAAGGTAGACACTGTGGTAAACTTTGAGCTGGAAATTATTCAACAAAAGGGAACTTGAGGGCTTTGGTGGGGGGCTTTACAAACAAAACATACTCCCCTCTGGCTCCTGTCTTTTAACCACATTCGTGGCATTGGCTCACTTTGGGAATAGTCCCGGCGGACCTATCAGCTATCCTGTGTCTTTAGCTCAGAAGATGGCAGAGGCTTGGATTTGCAGAATGGCAAATACTAACAAGTCAGAGGGGGAGCCCGAGGCTACTTTTCAGTTCCCAGCCTCAGGCAGCACAAACACAGAAGGCTCTGTAACAACTTCTTTAAAAAAGAAAAATAAAATAATTATGTGTGTGTGTAATATACCTATATCTATCTATCTCTATCTATTAGTATTTTAAAAAAAATATTCAAACTGATGGAAGGGCACAAAACAAAATATCAAGTCTCTTCCACCCCAGCTGCTCTGCTCATTACCATTAAAACATAATATAATACAATTTCTCCTATTTCTTGAGTTACCAATGTTTTAATGTTTTCCTATGAAGGACAGAAATTTTAACTCACTGTCTCTTCTTTAAATTCTATTCATTTCCACTTCTTAAAATAATTTATTTTACACTGTAGATATGTAGTACTTGCACTGTATTTTATAAAATTTTCTGTGGTTTTTCCACAGATTGAGTCTAATTGTTAGAAACCAATAAACGGCATCTACAATATGTCAATTATTCACTGGAGAACCAAGCAGAGTGGCTGAAGCAATATAAAAGGAAGTATGATACTATCTCATTTAAATTTTTACCAAAGCAGAATCTTTGGATATCTTGCTAAATAATAGATCTTTTTTTTTTAAACATTGTTCACTTCTAGATTATAAATCACTGTTTCTTCAACACTAACCCTAGTTGGATTTTGCTTTGCTGTTATTTTTTTAAAAAACATTTTATTGTGGTTTCAGTAAAAGTTTACAGAACACATGAGCTTCCCATTTAATAATTTATACACATTTTGTTTCATGACATTAGTTGTGAACCCTTCAGTGTGACAGCAATTTTCCCACTTCCTCCTGGGTTCCCTTCACCTATCTTTCCTTCCTTCTGAACTTGGTTTTTTGGGCTAATGCTGCCCTTTTGGTTTCATATGCTTGACTGTTCTGAGAAGCATGCACCACATGGGTGTTACTGTTCACTTTACAGGCCTGTTT